AGCCCATCTAAGTCTGCCAAGCAATTTTATTGCACGCCGTCAGCATAAAGAAGAGATAGGCAGCTTAGACGGTGTGGTAGGTCATCGATGAAATTCCAACTGCTAGAAAAACTTGAATGGACAAAGGATACATGGAAAATACAAAAAATTCAAATATCATTCTTATTCTTCGCCCGAATCGAAGAGGCCAGATTACACAGCGGGCTAGGGAAAGCCTTCGGGAAACAGTCAGACAGCTCATGTGTCTTCTCACGATGAAAGCACATGTAGGAATCGGTACGTGGAGTCTTGGCACAATGTACAAAACGGGGAAGGCTGCCGAGGTAGCGAAATAACTGGGAATATATATGGAATCTGCGAGAGCAGATGGAATGGAGATGGAGTGTCGAAATTGTCGACTGGGGAGTCAGTAATCTGATTTGTTCGGTCAGCCAGATGGAAACCATGAGCACACTAAGGCAGTGGGTATAATGTTATCACCAGTGGCAGCCAAAGCCCTAACGCAGTGGAAACCTATTTCATCCAAGATCATGACTGCACGATTGAACTCTAAAAGAGGGAATGTTGCAATTACCCAATGCTACGCAGAGCGCTACAAATAACGCGGAACAAGAGAAGAAGGAAGATTTCTATAGAAAACTGCAAATAGTAATGAACAACGTCCCAAATGGTGAGATCGAAATCCTTATTGGCAATATGAATACCAGTTGAACTGGGAGCATGTAGTACAGGAAGAGGCCTCATCATGGGTCGAGAGGCTCTCGGAAAATGAATTAGAGGGGAGAATTATTGACAGACTTCTGCACTTTCGATGACTTGGTGATCGGAGAGAGTGTGTACAAATACAAGGATATATACAAGAACAGTGACATGGATTTCGCCTGATGGACACACCACAAACCATATAGATCCCATATCACTGCTGCTCAAGGAAGTGGAGACGCAGTCACTTTGCTGGACACAAAGTCGATAAAGAGAGCAGTTGTGGGTTCAGACCATCATCTAGTTTAGGGAACCCGCAAAGCCAAGCTGAAAGCCCTCAAAACACATGGAGACAGACCACAACTCAAGTTCAACATTCAGAAACTGAAGGAAAAGCCGACAAGGGATACCTACACTGCATGTCATATTAGAGGAGAGTCGGAGACACTACGGGGTATCAATGAGGAAACCTTTGTAGAACATTGAAACTAACTCTGAAGGTGATGCTCAAGGAAACGTGTACAAATCCCCTACGACGGAAAAAGAAACAAAAAATGAATGGCTGTCAACGGGCAACGACCTGGAAGCTAATCGCGGATAGAAGGATGGTGAAAGAGATGACTCAATGCAGAGGTGGACAACAGAAGGAGAATCTGAGTTCACTGTGTACTGCACTGAACAAAGCAGTAAAGAAGAGTGCTAGGAAAGACAGAAGACGGTTTTATGACACACTGGCCGGAAACTGAAGCAGATCAAGCAGCAGGCAAAAGAGATCTCAGGACATTATATCAAATAACCGGGTCTTCATCCGGAAAGAGATCAACTCAGATGATGAAACCAATAAAAGATGCTTATAGGAACCCAATACCTAGGAGGAGAAACAAATAAAACAATGGGCTGATCACTGCAGAGGACTCTTGACTCGACCATGACTTGCGACTCTCCTAGAAATACCAGCAGCAGCACTCACAGAACTGCCTCACAGTGGACACCAATACTCCAACAAAAGGGGGAATTTTGAATGTGATCAAGTCACTGAGTTGCAGGGAAGCAGCAGGACCAGATAGGATTCCACCTGAAGCATTGAAAGCGGACCTAAGGAATGTGGCAGATGTGCTCACGCAATCATTGCAAAGGTTTGGAGGGGAGGAAGGAAAGTTGCCTACCTGTAGACTGGAAGAAAGCCTGGCTATTTTGTCAAGCTACCAAAGAAGGGCGACTTAGTTAGGTCTGTGCAAGAACAGGCGTGGAATAATGCCCTCGCCCACGCCAAGTAAAATACTAAGTCGCATCATCCCAGAAATAATGAAAGATAGGCTGAATGATTATTAGTAATTATGTAAAATCTGAATACAATTCTTTATATTCTTGGGGTGTCCTGGAGAGAACAAAAGATACAGAACTCCAGAATAAGCTGGATTCAAGAAATCATGTGCTGATCAAATTGCAACACTATTCATGGTCATCACAGAACAAGGCATAGAATGGTGGTCAAACCTCTACCTCATCTTCATCGACTGCGAAAAGGCTTTCGGCATCGTTGACCGAGAAGCAATATGCAAACTGCCTCAACACTACAGCATGCGATGGCCCAAATCTTTATCAACCTCATTCAACAGCTATATGACAGTGTCATGTGTCAGGTGATCAACAACAGAAAACCCAGCGTAGAGATTCTTTCTTATCGGTTGAGTGACAATACAAGTAACCTAGAAGGTGTGAAAACACACAAAAACAACCCAGCGAGGCGTTGGAAGTGAATACAGGAGTAATACAAGCTGGTTGCCTATTATCACCGCTGGTATTCTTGATTGTGGTGAACAGGATTATGCATCAGACTGTGGGGAGAGAAGAGACAGGAGTACGCTGGACTGATAAGACTCTAGAAGATCTGGATTTCGCAGACAATTTATCTAATGTCACACAAACTCGAAGACTTATAGGCGGGCGAAGACCAACAAAGTGGCTGAAGAGGCTGCCAGAGAAGACAGGACTGTAGGTAAACGTAGAGAAGACAGAAGTGATGAAGATAACCAACCGCCACCAATAGCAACAAAAATCAGCAACAATCACCATCAACAGGGGAGATTTGACAGAGTTTATTTCCTGCACTTATCTAGGAAGTATCTCTTCAACCAAATGCAGTCGAATGGGATGAAGATGTCAGGGACAGCCTGCCAGAATCGAAAAGGCAAGATACGCCTTCATCATCCTGAAGCCAGTTAGGAAAACTGCGCTGATGATGAGGAAGACGATTGGGATTTTCAACACGAATGTGCAGTTAGTCGGTTCTTCTACACGTGTCAGAAACTTGCACTGCCTGTCACGAAAAGTATTTTCAACGGTTTCTTTTGCTGGCTCCATACTCAAGTTCTGACGGCCGGCCAGAAAGGATTAGAGACAAGGGACTGTATTAATGAATCAGCCGAGTGCTTATTGTACGACAAATATTCCGAAGTTAATGGAGACCGATCGGGCACACTATAAGGCTATCACTGCAGTGGAATGGGAAACGACGATTGGAACATGTTTTGGAGAGTGATATGGAGGAGATCGTGAGAGAAGTATATGAGAGATTATGATCAGTATTGAGAGCAGCTAAAGAGGAAGGTAAAAATAGAACAAAGCGGAGGTGTTGTTGTCCTTTCGGAACCCAAGGGAAGAATAGTAATAATAAATATCGGCAATAGTTGCATTAAGTAAACCTTAGGCAGTAATCACCTACACCAAAACTTTCCTTCGATAAGAAGCACTCAATATGCCGAATAATGGTACCACGAATGAGTCTCTCTAGCAGCTCAAAAAGTTTTCCAAGATGCACTGGATGGCTGTTGCTAACCAAATGTTCAAGTTCAGTTTCGGACACCAACTTGACGGTGACACCCTTGAAGCGTCTTGGAGATCTGGACCGTTTCTGTGTTATGATGAATAATGACAAAGACGATTTTGTTACGGTCTCGGCAATCGATGATAAAATGCGTGGGTGGAGATCGTCTGGACTGCCAGACTTATAAGAAGTGAGCTATATTTTCAGTGTGTAGGTGTTCCATTCTGGAAGTACTTCCATAAAGTTTAATTAATGACCCACTGCCATCGGCCAAGAGAAATTGGCTGAAGTAACTCGACGAAGCCTCAATCTTAGGGAGCTTATCATCAGTCCTAATCATCGGCACCCACCAAGAAGAAGAGCACTGTCGTGAAAAGAGTCAGTAATTTGTAAGACTCCTGCAGTGCCCTTAGTACTTTTGGTTTTATTTCATCAAAGACGGCTAAGACTTAGCAGCTGAGATAATCTATCTGTGTTAGGGTAAGTCGTGCTTAAGTGTTGGCCTCAGTGATTGAATTCAACTCGTCTTGTATCAAGTTTAGATCATGAAATTTATTTGCGATACTGCACACTTAAGTGTCTGTTACCTTTAGACATTTAAACTTCCATATAAGTGTTGAAAGCACTCGCTCACATGATTGGAACCATTCTGTATGTCCACTGCAAACTCTTGGCTTGGGCCTCTATTAATAATTTGTATTGGAATTCCTCTGGCGCTTGAATGCCTAGCAGTCTCTGCACGATGGGTTACTGGAAACACTTTAGGGATAGTCTTCACGATAACACTCAGGAACTTATCGTCAGAGTGTATATTATTCTTTCAGACCACATGGTCACCATGGAGTTCCATGGCCTCTAATAGCAGTGTAATGGGCTGCTGACTGACGTGAACCTACGTGAACAGCATCATCTGAAATGCTACCACTATTTCAATTTACAGTACAGCTCGTATTGTGCCGACCATGGTGAATATAACACAAAAAAGTATTTGTAGCGCGACGAGGCTTATAAGAATGAGGAAAACACGGAATTTATCCAGCATATGTCAGTAAAAATTACCTCAACCTTTTGGTCCTAAGATCTGAAGAAAAACAGAAATTTTAGCAGAGCATGGAAAATTTCGCCTCCATTTCATTTTACGTGATAACGTAAATTCGTATATAGATTTATGAAAAATTCCCAGTGAAGACCTTGAAACACCAAGACTTAATTTCTAAGGGGATAGTGTTTGGTACATACCTAAACAAAGGTCAGGAGTTCATCCCGGACTATTGGGGACCCGATGTAGATTCGTATGGTCGCCACAAACAGAAACTTTGTATTACATTCCAGAAGCCTACTGATGCAAACAGACGTAGAAACTCCACATTTCGTACTCATGGATAGCATCATAAATATACGGAACATAGATAATTTGGAATACGGAGATATTCTGACCTCAAGTGATATTGAATTGTCGTAATTTCGGTTGCGGATTTCGAATAGCACGTTACAGCTTGCATTATGGCAGATGTCCTGTCACTCTTGCGGGAGTATCATCTAAATGGCAGGCCAATCGTTGAGACTCAAACTGAGGTGATATTTGGAGACTTTGCCTGGCCCAAAACCACCAAAACCAACTTTTTAGTATGGGGGTAATAGCTGCTGCTTTGCTTTCAAATCAATAATCATAGGTCTGGCAAAGAAGGTACTCCAAAAGACTATTATACCCTTGACTGTGTTGTGTATTTATTGAAGCACATTGATTTGCCACATACTCAGTATGTGCGACAAGCAGCAGTAAGCAGTCGTATTCCCATTTAGGAAGTAATAACTGTCATGTAGAGTGCTGGTCTCCCCGTGGTGCGACTTCCCGATCGACGTGACCTGTTGGCTTACTTAAAGGGTGAAACAAATACTGCTCCAAATATTGACAGAGCTGCTCCCGTTGACATTTCCTTGCGTCGAGCTGTTGCTAAACAAACAGATGCACATTCGCATATTCGAAGAGGTGAGTCACGAAATATATCTTCTGAAATATTGTGAAAATCTTCTTGTTGCTTGGTTGGATTTTTGTCATCATTAGTGTACTGTTGTTTAATTGACGTCCAATTATGTTTTACCTAAGCTGGTCAATGCATTCATTATTAGTTTAATAATGTAAGGGAAGATTTGAAAATTGATTAAATCCAAAGGACTTAAAAAAGTCTCCTTAGAAGTTATTTTATTAAAAGTTCAGAGAAAACTGTCCTCTCGTCTTTTAATCCTGAATACAGATGGTGATACAGCTTGCAGCACCCATGCTTTCATAACCATAACGTGCCTTGTTGTTTTTCGACCATCTCAAAATTTTTTTTATTGACACTCGTAGAACTGGTATTTCACTTTTTTTTTATCCGGAATCGAACGGGTCTCCGTGGTTCTGCAAAACTTTCCTCTGAATCTTGAGTGAGCCATTACGATTTCTACTTTCGAAAATATACGAAGTTAACTTATTTTCAGATCAGTAGTTGCTTGTACACTTACAAACCTGTTTGTCTCCATAGTTTTTGGAATTCTCCTCTGTCCATAAAAGTACATACGTGACAATGAAATAAAGTTCAGTTTTATAGTCAATTGTTAGCTTGAGAATATTCAAGCGGACAGTCGTCAAAAGAAAATGACTAGGATAGTAATGAAGTAAATGTAGAGTGTGATTTTATCTACTGAATTTTTATTTCCAATTATGAGAAAAAAAGGCCTAAATATACGGAATGTTTCGAATGAATATGAAAACTGTGTACCGTCTTTTTATAAGCATGGTGATCACGGTTCAGCCTCCAGGTTTTTTAAGCCTTGTGGCAATTACCAATCATTTGGAGCGATTTCGTATGCTAACTTTTGGGTACGGTAAAACTGATTTTCTGTAAATCTTTAAGCTTACTACTGACCTACTTATCTGACTCACAAATACTGCTTTCAACACAATATTGTATGATAATTAAAGTCTATTCAATCTTGTCCGTGATTTAATGGCTTCTGAAAATTCGTTAGGTAAGCACTGGCTTTCAGATGCCAATACTACAGCATTCCAGTGAGATTTCGTTTTATCCCTTATCAAGTATTAAGTTCTTCAAGTTTTGTTAGCCATTTCGGTCTTACTGTTTTTGTCTCGTTGTTATTGATACAATGAAAATAAATGTAAGTGTGAAGTTCTGGTGTTAACAGAATTCATTCACCGTTTGAAATATGCCATAATTTTAACTTAAGGTGTATTTTCATGTCGCTTCATTCTCACATTTGCATAGTATTTTGGAAACCTGGTTTTCCAGGGCTCACTTTTTCAAAGATGCAATACTTCCATGTCTTAGTACGAACTAGTCAATGGGAGTGCTCTCCCAATTAATTTAAGACAGTACATTATATTATATTAATTTCTACGGAATAATTACGTCCAAATGTGATACATACATAGTACGTTTTCGATTGGTTGATTATACTAACTATTTCTTTGAATTAAACTCGTCATTAAGCTAAATATATTTGATTTACCAACTGTAGATGCAGCTGATATACTTGGTACAGATGGTTTCAGTGTCGATTCTGAGGCCAAACGAATGCGACTTACGAGTAGTGTTGAAGGATTGGATGACAGTTTGTTAAGTCGTGAGTCGCAAGCTCGTTTGAAATCTATGGTACTTGATGAAGAGGCGATCGCACGTGAAAAGCGTGATTTGGCTGCTAAGCTAGAAAGTTCGTTTGGCAATCGTTCCTCTAGTTTCATCCAACCTGATCAAGCTAAATCAAGCACATTGCCAGAAGCTGTTCCACTGGACAAAATTCAGGTAAGAGATGTCCATTTAGACTGTTTGGCTGTCCTATGCATTGACTACTTAATAAATAAATTTGTGTAATTTTTTAGTCATGGCGAGCGAAGTTCCGTGCCATTCAACAGCAAAGAATCAAGACGGGTGATGTAGATCAGGCGTTTGAAGTCCCTGTAGCAAATTATCCTGGCAGTGATGGTGACACTGGACTGTCAGTTATGTCTTTAGATGCTCGAGACTCCCGTGTTGGTCTTCATAGTGTAGTACCTGGAGGCGAATCTCAGTCTATTATTCGGATAGACGATGTTACTCAAGGTCAATTATATTCAGGCAGCACTCTCCTTAGAGCTTCTCTTATGGCTGACGAAGCGCCAGTACGCGCAATTGTAGCGCGTGAGCGTTCCTGGAGAAATCGTGTCTCGGTTTTACAGAGTCAAGGAAAAACATTCTATGAAAACATTGTTTTGGGAATTCTTCGAAATGTAATCGTAAGTCAATTTTCAGAAATTTATATTTGTTTCATAATTCTACTATGAATTCATATTCAGTGCGGCGTATATTTATTTCAAGTGAAATAGTTGTTCCTTTGTGCGGATAAAAGCTGAATGCAAAAGTAGTCGTAGCTGTAGAAAAAAGTGTATACGATTTTTGTAAATTTAACTGTGATCCCTGTTCGAATGTCTGAGGACATTCATCTCTTACTGTCTGAAGTATATTTGAGTACTTGTATCTTTAAGATACATTTGAGTAGCATTTGTTAAACAGTTTGCTAGAATGTTATGAATAAAGGTCATTGGTTGGTATTATAATTCTCTTTTAATCTTCTTTTGAGAGTGATGTCCAACAATTTATTTTTCGCACACTATTGATTAGTTACCGTTGTTTTTGCTTTCTGTGCATTTTGTAGTTGAAAGAAGATGCTCATAATGCTCCAGATCCTAAAGCAGCTGGCAGATTAGGCTATACGGCTGCTAACAATCAATCGACACTTTTCCCTCAACCACTGGCTGTCGGAACTTACTATTCAAAACCTAACGGTGCAAATACTGGGTCAGCTATGGCGCTCAGTACAGGGCAGCCTATGTCTGTCTCCAATTCCAATGCGCCGCATCATTCACAGATGCATTATTCGAGATACGATCAAGAGCGTTTTACAGGTGGACGTGAAGAAACTGCCGGCTTTCGCATCGATACTATGAGTTCTTATCACGGAAAGGCCTTGGTGTCAATGGTTGCCGGTAGTGCAGACAAGCCAAATTCAGATAATTTTGCTGGGAGTTCAACTCCTCTCCGTACGCCAGCGACTGCTTCTAGGTCAATGGGAAACGAAACTCCGAGTATTCCTTATGAACCTCAATCTCTCAGAGACCCTCGAGCTACTGCCTCCGGGATTCCTTCGACCCCAAGTGCTACTCCTGATGCATGTAAGTATAGATCAAGTTCTGTTTCGATTAGTACATGTTACGCATAACTACATATTTTCTAGGTGTTTATATTTCAAAGGCTAAATGTATGTTTTTAAGCGTGGGTTCCAAGAATTATAAATAGTTTGAATGTTTTTCCAACCCTTATCTGTAAGACAGCAAAGAAACTTCAAGGGCTGCATCACCATGGTTGCCGGTTACCAAGAAAGTACATATGCCGTCCGGTTACTTCAGATCCTTGAGCCTATATGCACCAATGGTTTTGAATTGGGTTATACAGTTCCTCTAGGTGAACCACGCAGACCTTCAAATTCTCCCTTTCACTTTTCTAGGAACACCTCAAACTGCATAAAGGCAGTGAGTAGGGTCTTGGTTATATGTCTGCATTTTGAGGGGAAGACCAGTTCATTTAATGAAGCATTATTTGTGATTCATTAAATCATTTCTTTTTTTATGTTTTGTCCGTCTTATGGGATTTTATGCCCAGGGGCCTTCTGTTTTTTACTTTTGTAAATTGTAGAGAAATGTTAATATGCAATTAGGCAACATCATGTCTTTCTATATGATTTGTGTTGTAAGTTAATTCAGCCGAAACTTTTGGGATTACGGTATCCAACTTCTAGTGCCTGAGATCGCTTGTCTCTATATGTTTCTGCATAATATATATCAGTAGGCTACTTCTATAGTTTAAAAAAAAAATAATATTTCTTTATACTGCTTATCTTCTTTGTCCCTAGCTTTTCACACACACTTCAACCATCTTTAAGTAGTTAGTTAACAATTAATATAATTCCTTTTGATGTTGGTAAAAGTGCTTAGCATGTGTTTCATTTTTTGCAGATCGTGGTTTACGCTCTACTGCTGATGCCCGCCTAACTGCTCGAAATAAAATCAGGTCATCTCGTATTCCAATTATTATAATTCCCGCAGCACCAACTAGTCTAATTACTATGTACAATGCCAGAGATATCTTACAAGTAGGCATACTTTTTGTTATTTTCTTTCTCATAACAGTTATTGTTGTGTCGTTTGTTATTTTTATTCTCTGTAGGTGATTTCAAATGTATACTCACCCAGGTGAGAACAGGTTTAAAAATCAAATGATCTTTAATTACATCGGAAATGTTTAAAGATAATTTGATGGGTCTACTTAGGATGCACATTGATGAAGAGTCCCAAACTAGGACGAGACAGTTACCTAGTGCCCCTTGACTTGCTTCGGTGGTCCAGTGGTAGAATGACCATCGACCATGCACTTGGTCTGGGGTTTGATCCCTGGTCAACGCTCCCCTTAACCTCTCTCAGCCAGTAGTAAGCCCGGTAAGGAGGGCAGGTTAGGCGTGAAGCATCCCTGCCCCGTGGGAAAAACAAGACTGCTACTGAAACCTTCAAGCTGAAGCTTGAAGCCCTATATTCTCCTCGGTACGTAAAGGAATGAAAAAAGAGAAGTATTGTAATTCGAATTCATTTGGTCATAAAATGTTTTCTGACTCTGGTGTCTGGCAGGAGAAGCCCATCACATACAGAGCAGACTAAATATTTCTTGTACGTTTTAGAAGATGTAAAGCAAGTTTCTAAATTTGGATCCACAGTTTAACAGAATTACTAAAACTAAAAGTGGTCTAGTCGATACTGAAAACTAGTGGCCGTTATTTTGAGTTGACATGATCACTAGTTTGATAGTGAGTATCATACACTAGGAGAATTTATTGTTTCCTGTTTAAATACTAAAAGAAGATAAGATGGTGGACCTATTTAGATATTTGGGTTTGTATTATGATAGATTAAACTAGTGACTTGTATTCGTCGAAGTGTTTTACATCTGTTTTGACGAGAACTTTTTACTGTTATATATTAAAAACCTTTTAGTACTTCACATTCAGGTTTATTGTATTTAGTTTAATGTAAGATGGTGCGAATTTTGTTCACAGTTGCTTTAGGTGTAAGACTAGAGATAGAGTTCGATGTAAAGGCTAAGTAATAGTTTTGTAATTTCGCACATTGTTGGAGGTTTGAATTGTCAAATGAATAAGTTACACGGTTGATGTTATTCCCTACTCATTAGTAAGGAGTGAGGTATAGAGTCTGGATTAGTATCCTACATCCTTTTAGCTTCTGAATGTATTCTATATGCATTGCACTGGTTTTCAAACTCATTCAACCGGGGTTTCAATTCATATGCAGTTGGGCAATACGGTTAGTATTAGGTGTAGTCATGAACCTGGTATAAGAATATATACATGTCTAATCCAACTTATTTTCAACGTATCACAAAAAATAGTAGGGTTAGGCTTGAATAGTTGCTTTCATTTTAAAATCCCAGCTCTACACGCAGGTTCTGTATCGTAAAAATTTCTACACATTTCGTTTCAACAAAGAGTTGCACTTCAAACTATATGTTTTGGAGGATAATAGTAGTTCACGGGTTGCTGCATCTTATTCAACATTCTCGTTTCTGTAGTGTTTCCATCCTGTTGTTTAAGTTCTTGGTTTTCTACCAACCGTCTACAATATCAACAGCATTTCCACTGTACATACTTGAATTTTTATTAGTGACATGCGTTTTTTTGTTGTCAAAATAAATACCTCAAATGACTGTAATTCCGTAGTACGTTGTCTTCCATTTTAGGATTTACGTTTCGTTAAATCTCAGGAAAAGCAAGCTTCAGGTATGCGTCGGGAAAATGAAATTCTGATTCAACGTCAGAAATCTGATGGTCGAACTGTACCGTATCGTGTGGTGGACCAACCGAATAAATTATTATTAGATGAATGGAATCGTGTTGTGGCTGTTTTTGTCCAGGGTCAAGCATGGCAATTTAAAGGTTGGCCAATCAGCTCTGATCCAGCTGTAATTTTCTCCCAAAGTAAGCAATGTTTTATTGGTTCATTGGGATGATTTTAAAGGATTCCATTGATTTTTAGTAATGTTTATGTGTCGTTTTGATTGATATATTTAACTCTTAGGTATAATCGAGATAAAAGACCATAGGTGGGTTTATTTGCCATGTTATTAAATTGACTATGGATGCTACTCAATCCTACTTGTCGTAGTGGGATGTATTCGTGAAATATTAGAGATTTATATGTTAAAATGAAGCTTATAGTAACTTGGTCTTCTACAGTAGGCAACTCATAAAACGTCCAATGGAATTGACTTTAACTGACTTCAGTAACTTAGGGATTGACTTGCTACCAGGGTATAGTTTTATTGACCTAGAATATGCGGGTGATGTAGTCCTCCTAGGTAGCACAGTGGTTAGGACTCTCGCCGACCATGCCGACGCACACCTGATATCTATGGTCGGCCTCCAAAATTTGGGCTACCGATATCACATGCTGGAAATTCCATACTTGTACCAAAAATACTGTTTGGAATCAAGCTATAATCAAAAATATAAAAAGCAGAGTCTTCTGAACACTGAGCGAAAATCTTCGAATGTTTGGGATACGATTTGCTGCTGTCACATGTAAGATGATGCCACAAGACTGAACTACAACGACTCCTAGGTCAAAAAATAGGGAGTGAAGTGGTAGAATATGTTAACCACTTCGCTTATTTGGGAAATTGCATCAACCCCAACTGGCTAATTGGTAACGAAATCTCGTCACAGATACAAAAGTCTCGTGTGGCATCTGCCAACTTACTTAGTCTCTGGTGTAAACGTGATATCCGGATGGCTGTCAATCAAAAGACGTGTTTACTTCCCAGCCGTTCGCTCCGTTCTCCTTTATGACTGTGACATGGTCATTGAAAGTAGAAGTCATGGAAAGTGTGGCTGTTTTGATCATAGTGTGATGAGAGCTGGCTGCTAGCCAAAATTGGTAGACAGTAATTTACGTCAATGTTTACGTCCCCAATATTGGTCATGAGAAAAATAAGAACGAAGACTGACTCAACAAACAATCACAGCAGACTTTGCGTAGGCGGATACAATTTGCAGATAGATAATCTGAGATGAAAGATTAACGTTCAGCAAGAAACCACCAATCAGAAGACTGTTTTTGCTTGCTTAAAATAATCTATAATAATGTACATGAAAATCTATAAATATGTGTTGATTTCCTAAATAAACGATCTGTTGCCTGGCCCTTTTCTTCTGCTGTCACAATAGGTGTATGCGTTCTATCTCCAGAATTAAGTGGTATTCTTTCTCCCTGGCATTTCTGCTTATTATCGTTCTTTCGAATATCTCTTCTCTCTCTTTTATCTTCATTTGTGTGCTACATGAAGTATGGCAACTCGAACTGCTGCACCTCTCTGTGCAAAGTTCTATGTTGAAACCGGTCAGCCAGTTAGTCAACTAACTGTCTTTACAAAGCCTTAAAAGATATTTCCAATCCTCCAGTCGATTATTTAAAATAGAAAATGCACTTCATAGAGTAGTCAAGTGCATCGGTGGCATAGTGGTTAGGACGCTCGCCGACCATGCACATGGTCCGGGGTTCGATCCCCTGCCGGCGCACTCTTTTACCTCGCTAAGCCAGAAATAAAGCTGGTAAAGAGGAAAGGTTGGGCATGAGGCTAGCAACCCCATCCTGTAAAAAAACACTGCTACAGAAACTTCAAGCCTCTAGTTTAAAGCCCTATGTTCCACTGGGAACGTGAAGGAATAAAGAAAATAGAGTAGTCAAACAGAAATACAAAGAAAAGAAGTAAAACAGAGTAGAGATTAATGAAACAAGGTTGTGTATGTGTAGTGTATGACATTAGATAACGAAGGCTAAATTAAAAAACAAAATGTTTTTTCATACTAGTGTGATAGGGGATGGGTGAAATTTATTCATAGAGCAGGTAACATCACATCCAAAAGGTATGAATTAATGTAATATATTGTTAGATGATTGGAGGTAATCGGCAGGAAGTCTCTAGCAAACGAAAGATTACGCACATGGCATTAGTTACTCTACTTAGTGTCCAATCATAGTTTCCATTCCACTCTTACAGGAGATCAGTAGTCGCGAGTTCGAAAAGCTTAGTGGTAACGCTTCTGACTACTAGAGCATTGCGTGACCTGAATTTGAACTTCAGGAAGTGTATGAACTTCTTCAAGATTGCAGATACTCTTTTTTGAGGATTGCCAACAAGTATGAAGCGCCTAAATTCAACGGCTTCCTTTCGATTATCTCCAAGCACCTAATAACAGCAATTGAGAGTGCACCATGATCCTGAGCCACCTAGTGGCATGGTTGCCATACTGCAAACTTGTCAGTCTGCACTGAACGAGGGAAGGACTAGACACATGGGATTAGTTAATTCCTACCTAATTTTTAATTTTTTAAAATTTGATTACAGCTTGATGCCACACCGTATTTTCAGTACAAGTATGGAATTTTCAGCATGGATATCGGTAGCCCAAATTTTGCAGGTCGACCATAGATATCGGGTGTGCGTTGGCAGGGGATCGAACCCAGGACCATGTTCATGGTCAGCGAGAGTCCTAACCAATGTGCCACCGACGCAATCAGATTAATACAGTATTTGCAGACTCACAGTAGAATTGTAGGTTCTACTTTTTGTGTTCACTTAGTGTTTATTTTGTTATTACTGAATGCATATCAAAAATTAAAGGCTTGTCTTTCTCTTTATCACTTTTTTTCGTACATAGTTAAAGGTTTTCATTTGAAATATACCAATATGCCTTTGGATCCAAATGTAGCCAAATGGAATGTACGTGTAATCGACTTAGATCAACGGCGTCATCTAGACAAGGCTAATTTTCAACAAATCTGGGAACAACTAGATAAACATATAGCTAGAAATAAGCCATTTTTACGTTCTTAGGAGGGGAAAGAGGAGGAGAAGGAGAAGAAGATGAAATCATTTCTTTTTTTGTATAAAGAGACTAGGTTGTTTTTGTTATCATTATTATTATTTTTTGATTAATTTGTTAAAATAAACAATGTATATAAAAATGTTCAATTATTTGTTGTTATTCAGTCATGCGTGCTGACTCTGTGTTTTAGTAGTAGGTTGTAGACTCATGAACTCATGAACGTTCATTATTATTCTTTCTTATTTTTGTGTATGTAATTGTCAAACATTCGTTAAGATTCACTTAAGTAAAGTAATAGGAGTCTTCACAATCACCATTCTATACTTGAATGTGTCAAGACTACTTAAAAGTTACTTCACATTTGATATCTACTCAGATCTTAATCACTTCATACTCTAATATATCAACTGTTGTTGCTAGAGGTTATGTGTAGATTAAGGTTGATAACAGCGAACCAAGACAGCTGACTAACTGACTGATATCAACGTAGAACTTTGCACAGAGAGGTTCAGCACTTCAATTTGCCACACTGCATGTAGCACACAATGTAAGACAAAAGAGTTATTCGAAAAAAACGATAATAAGCAGAAATGGGAGGGAGAAAGAAGAACAGTAGCATGGAGAAACAAATAGGGTTTTAATGGATATGGGAGATCACATAGGGAGAATGATTTGAACCATCCCACCGATTGCCTCCAGCCTTCATTCGTTCTTACCATCCTGAGGACTCCAACCAAGCGGTCACGATCTTTTTTCTATGTGGCTCAAATTAAATGTCAAAGATTTCATGGATTGACGCCATGTTTCGATTTGACCACCCCTAACTCCTTTCCAGCCTAATCCTATGCCACCTAAGATTTCTCGTCGAGGAAGAGGGTGGCTCGTCACGCATCCCACATGTCCTAGGTATTTCAATCGATGCACCTTCTCAATCCCATCAATTGACTTGCCTTCTTTACCTGACACTTGATGCCAAACCTCAATATTACTGTCCATATTGTACCACTTAACACGGGAGATAGTACATCAACACCTATGATCAAATACAGCTAGCTCTTTCGTGTCTTCTACTTTCATTGGCTGCGTTTCACTCACAGCCATAAAGGAGGATGGAGCGAACTGCTGAGCAGGAAGGCACTGTTCTTATCCACTTTAAGATCTGTATGTTCCGCAGTTGAGATCGGGGTTCAGTTTCCAGCCAATTCATTCCTAACCTCATCTAGTTTATTTGCCGGTAGTAAGGCCGAGAAATTGTGAAAGGTTGGAGTGAGATTAGAAACTACACACCACTACTTGAAACTTCCAAACTTGAAGTCGTATATATCACTCGGATCGGAAGGATAGAAAAACGCATGTATTGTATTGATAGAATTGGGTGATCATTAGTTTTCGTGTCATATTCATCCACATACTGAAATTGAGGTAAACAAGTAGCATGACTGTTTTTTTTGTAAGAATGGTGTATGTCATCCAGTTCACAAAAATGCAATCCTTTATTTGGCTACACCGATTATACATGTTCATACTTCTGCTATTTCAAACAGCATAAAATTATGAACATTAACAGAGAGCATTTGTACCCTGTCTCCATTTTCAGGATGTCATTCTACTCTTAAAATATGAACTGAATTCATCTTATTTTGCAAAATTGAAGGTTCTCCCAATGTAACTGCCACTGCAGATACCCCTAAATTTGTATACATAAAGTTAACATTATAAGGGTATATGTCGACTTTTGATTGTACTAAAGAGCTTGTTATCCAATTAATGGGTACCAACTTAGCCGCAGGATAGGTTCTGCATAGTGAGGTATTCAATCTTCGGTTGACTATTCCTACAATACTGTCTCACTTAAAGTCGACTTGAATGAAGATAGGTTTCTCCTCCATTGTGATTTCTTAGATATTTGACTCTCCACATCATCCATAAGCGTTAGTGAATTTCTGAGGATAATGGTTGTTTTTCAAATGGTTACAAATGTGTAATCGACAGCAAGAAGTTGTTTCGTCGATTGCAAACTTTAGCTTTGTTTTCTGAGGACTAGACATCAAGTTTTCTGCGAAAACAGGGCTAAGTGGAACGCCCATAGGCTACACCATCTGTTTGACGGTAAAGAGTGTTGTAAAATTGGAATTGCACATCCATGGTACACATTAGCAGTAGGCGTTTGAATTCCAACTCTGTGAGAGGGAGAAGATCAGACTACTGAAAAATAATCTCAATGGTTTCATTGATTGGAATCATTGTGAACAAGGAGGTTGCATTAAATGACAGTATGAACTTATTTGAAACGTTCATGTGGTTCACACTTTCAGCAAAGTGAAATGAGTCTTTCATGGTGTGCACGTCTAGACGTTGACAAATGGGTCCCAACATCTCAGCAAGTTAAAGAGCAACTTTGTGCTGAAACGAGTCGATCGTAGAAAGTTTAGGTCTGAGGGGGATATGTTCTTTGTCAGGCCAGACATTTAAAGCAGACGGAGCCCTCGGTTTTAAATATTTGTAAGTATCGTTGTCAAGTGGTTTCTTCTTTAGGGACTCTCTCAACACGCTTTTGATATGCTTTTCAAACTGTGTCTGTCTTATCTTTCTGGTGGTCTTCTGCTTTACAAAATATTCCCTCTCCATGCATCCAGTGCGTCCTTTATTCCATGCAAGGTTTACTTATATAATAGTAATCTGAAGTATATCATGTAACGTAGCCTTGCTGCATATGAGAAGATAGCCAATTCCATAAGTTTTTTCTTTATTTCTTTCAAGAATTGCATAGCATCTAGCTGGAAGCCGATTAAATAGGCGCGCGAGTTCATGTAGAGTAATCATTTGATATATTGGCACGATGAAAAAACTAAGAAAATGCAGAAGAGTTTAAGCATTTTGATGTACGAGAATTCTAGTAGCCCAGTGGTGTGAGCAGGTCGCCTCGATGGAACCCTTAAACCTCAGTAGATCATTTAAGACAGTTTCATCCTTGCAATGTAGTCTTCTTTGTCCATCAACACCACCGGCAAGCCCTAATCATATCGCGATGTAACTATTCGGTCATTATTTTCTAGAATCAGAAATCCTTCATCTAAATTCTCTGTAGAGCATATTCTCCTGGCTGTATAAAACAGAGCTTCGACTACTGCTGGTCTATAGCTGTATGGACGAAAACTGTTGAAATTTTGAGTATTATCCATTCCATGTAGGCTTTCGGTGAATTGATCTCTGGTGACTACTACCTTCCAGGCGTTGCATGGCAATGTCGATATGATGAAAATTGCCGTCACTCTCGTGTTCCTTAGTGAAATCTGAAGTATCCCGTCAACTGACATTATGTGACATTAACAAATATGTTCTGATTTTTCTGTCCATAAACTGAATATTGTCCTTGGGTTGTACACAATTGATGATAAGCCAACTAAATAAATGACGGTACCATCTTATTCTGTAAAAACCGTTGTTGTTGCCGTGACCGAAAAATTTACTGCTGATTGAGTAACAAGACATGTAAATCAATCGTATTTAGAAGGTATTTGGAAGTGACTTTCCATGTGTTTACCTCGGCTTCTGTATTCAATACAATTTGCTTATTAGACCATTCCGAAGTTGGTAAATACTTTCTCCATGTCAGTAGTATGTACAAATTTACACACAAACAAACAAGTTTAAGAAAAGGGTTCTGAATAGAGCATCAAATGAAAGTGTTTACAAATGTCTTTCAGTGGATCCAGTCAAGAGTAGTCAGGCTTTAGAGAAAGCTAAGTTTATTATTAATTTTAAGAGCAATCTGCATTTCCCGTTGTTAGATTATCTTGGATCGAAATGCTCGATTTGTTTTGAAACATTGGGTTCAGGTTTCGAGTTTCAGTGAAGATGCGGCTGTGCCCAGGTGACGAGTCTACAGTAAGAGCGAATTATCATCCTGGATTTCACTGCTAGTTACCATCAACAATAATAATGTTAAGCTTACTTTTGTTTTGAACAGAACACTATGGTTAAACAATAGGAATTTGGCTTTCTTTTGGAGAATAGTATAGTTAACGTTAGTTGGCTGCATAGTATTTGGTTTTTAGTCTTCACTCGTCTTTTGTATTTTTCCCTAATAGTTTATATTTATTCACTTATATTCACTCTAAAGCCTTCTAATTTCTTCGTTTGATTTCACTATTATTTCAGGATTGTTTGGCTGTTTATTTGGCTCTCTATTTTTCTTGACCAACTGATCTACTTCATATTCTGGACATTATTTTTTCCACAAAATTATATACTACTGAGTGATTGAGATGAGTAGTTGTGTACTATTCATATCGACCAGTAGTGCTGGTTAAACAGATCATAGAAATGATCTAAACACTTGATAGCCGCTGTTTCACCCGTTTGGAACCGTTCTCATCAGCGGTGTACTCGGTTCGACTCAGCTCAGAGAGCCGGATAAGCCGGAAATCAGGGGAAATTAATAGACGAGGTTGTGAAGTTATATCGATTGAGATGGGTAGGACATGTGTTACACATGCCCAACCACAATCTCCTTCCTCGACAGGCAGTCTTAGCCGACTGACATAGGATCAGTTTGGAAAAGAGTTAGGGGTGCTCAAACCAAGAAATGGCTTCATCAGTCAATGAAATCCACAACAGTTAGTTTAAGCGAGTCTCGTGAAGAGATGTATACTTCCTGGTTGAGGCCCTCGCGATGGTAAAAACAAGTGGCTGGAGATAATTGCCGATATGGCTCAAAACTATTCTCAGTGGCATAGATGTATTTACTTTTTGTGATTTATAATATCCAATAAGATTCTATTGTTCTTCCTTATTACTATTCTTTTCCCCTCACACTTCTGTTTATTATTTCTCTTTTGGAACTCTCCTAACTGACTTCTCTTGCTTTGTGTGCTACAAGTGGGGGGGGGAGTGTGGCAACTCGAACTTCTGCACATCTGTACAAGGTTCTTTGTTGAAACCAGTCAGTCAGTCAGATTTCTCGCTAGCTACTTGAGCGGACTGATAACACCTTGAATCAGATTCGGAAGTAGTCGAGTTCGTGTAGGTGAAATTTCACCACAGTTTCCTTTCGAGACTGTGTAGTACGCTACTACTTATATGAACCAATCACTCAGTAGTATACAGTTTCGTGCAAATAGCAAATTATGATCTGAATAATTTA